CCTGATCACTTTGGTATATATAACCCTATATCTGATTCTTTTAGTTTTAGAACTTACAAACAACCGTTATGTGAACAAAACTGTAATACTCTCTTTAGCAACTTTGTTGCGAGAGTATAAAAATAAAGTGCTGAAGTGTACATAATAAATACTTACCCAACTCTGCTTTCCTAAACCTACAAATACAAAAAACAGGAGCTGCATATGTGCAAGTGCTCAAAGTGAGAAACATACAAAAGTGTGAAAAGACGTACAAGAAATTTGGGTACAAAGGGCACAGTGAATTCTAAAAAAAAACCGTACACAAGTGTTTAACCTGGTGATTAGCGCGAGGGCCATCCGAAAACGTTAAAAAAAAAAACAGTTTTAAAAAACCGGTGGGAAACCCGTTAAAAAAAAAACTGTTTCAAGTGCCGCGTTAAAGGAACCGGTATAAGTACCCGTTGTTGCCATACCGCCACTGCTGACATCACTGCTGCCGTCAACACTGCTACCATCAACGCCGCTGCCATCAACACTGCTGCCATCAATCTGCTCCCGCCGTGGGAATGATCTGCCGCTGCATATTGTGTCAAAGGGACGTAAGCGCCGGCAAACAGCCGACGCACTAGGTAACACTGCGAAAGCAGTGGGAACATAAAATAAAACGAAAACGTATACAAATAAAATTGAATTTTTCCGTTTTTGCCTCTCCCGTTTTTCACTTTCAATTATATTGACGTTCATATAAATATATGTATATGCGTACGCAAGTGAATAAGGGATTTTGGGATTTTTGCATTTTTGCGGTAGCTCTTTATTTCTAAATAAAGTAGAAAAATTATTAATTGTAAATCACAATTTATTACATTTTTCGCAATTTTTTCGATCCGCGTTTGCAATTATCGCTCGTTTTTTTTCGCAAATTTTGTCGATTTTTGTGCGGACATTTGCCGACTAAATTACTTTACTGTGCTATTGCTCCTTTTGCGCATTTATTGGTTTAGCTTTCGTATACTTGGGAATCGATATTATTATTTTTTTTTTCCCGTTTTCGCAACCGATTCCAAATATATTTGTTGCCAACCTTTATTGCTATTGTTCATATCTTATACCTTACTGGTTTGGCTTTCGTACATTTGGGAATCGATATATTATATGTATATATATATTTTCGTTGTCGATTCTTAATATATCTGTTGCCAATCTATATAGTATTTTTCGGAAATTTAATTTAAACAAGGCAAAATGAGCAAGCTAAAGCCAACTCTCGCAAGCCTGTCTCCAAGTAAGGAGTTGACGGACTTAAAATCGTTAAGACGTAAAAGAACGTTGCGAAAAACAGCATTTTGCGCATTAAAACGGTCCTTCTCGAAAAGACTATGTCTTTAGATCCAATCGAATCGGAATGTCGTCTCTATATATTAAATTCATAGTGAAAAATTAATAAAGTACCAATCAAAGATTGACGAAATTGATGAAGACGACATGGGTCGTGATGAGTTAGAGGACATAATYGTTGAAACGAAGTTCATAATAAAGTAAATTTTAGCAAAAAATAAAACTTCATTTGCCGAAACATCTTTTGTAGCTTCTCACATCTCAAGGCTCCCTAAAATGAATTTGMATTTCAGATTTTTATGAGTTTGTTCGAGAGCTTGGTTCATAATTTCCCAAATATCCCAGATATAGAAGAATTTAACCATTTCGTAAATTTTCTATCAGGAGAGGCTTTGGGAACAGTTAAAGCATTTCAGATGTCCGATGAAAATTACCCGAAAATGTTAGGAAGTCTGAAAAAAATTATGATAATAAATGTTTGATATTTTTCAATACTATATCTAAACATTTTGAGCTGCCAACAATCCCAAAGCCAGCCGCGAAGCAAATAACAAACGCCATTATAATACATATAGTTATAACAAAGGTTGACTCTGCCACCCGATCCAAGTGGGAAGAGCAACTTGACTACGATCACTTGCCATTATGGAAGGGTGGCAGCGGAAGGAGCATCTTTTTCGAGGACGAAATCCGGAGCCACAACCAATAATATAGAATATAGAGCATTGGGTCACATGAGCCCAACGAACAATAAGAGCCCGAGTGTGCCACATTACGTGTTGTATTTGATGCCTCGAGTCGATCTCCAACTCAAATAGCGTTGAATGAACTTTTGATGGTAGGTCCAACCATCCAAGAAGAGTTGTACTCAACTATGTCTATGTTGTACTCAACTCTTCTTCGTTTTCGCTTACATAAGTGTGCACTAACAGCGGACATTACTAAAATGTACCGCCAAATAATTATGCATGAAGAAGACAGAAATTGTCAACTTATTGTGTGGAGABAGCATCCTTCTGAGCAAATTCAAATTTTTCGTCTTAACAACCTAACCTTCGGAACTGCGAATGCTCCATTTCTCGCAACACGCTGTTTGCAAATTCTCAGTGCTACCAATACAATGAAATATCCACTCGGTTCATTGGTCATCGAAAGAGACTTTTATGTTGATGATTTACAAAAGGGTCCGAAAATTTTGAGTTTCGAGATGTTTTGAGAAGTGAGGTAATTAAAATATTAAACTCGGCCGGATTCACCTTAACGAAATGGTTTTCAAACCATCCTAAATTTTTCCAAAGTGATTGCACTGAAAAGTGATTAAGTTTCGATGACAAAAATTCCACTAAAACTCTAGGAATCCATTGGTCGCCGATAGAGGATTTGTTTCGCTTTGTTTTGGATGACAATTTTAATGATCTGTGAGCCACTAAAAGAAATATATTGTCGGTTTCTGCTCGCCTTTTTGATCCTCTTGGATTACCAGCCCCACTAGTTACCAAAGCAAAAATCTTATTGCAAAAGCTTTGGATCCAAAAACTAGATTGGGATGAGTCGATTCCATTGCGCCTTGACACTAGCTGGCAGAACTTTAAAGCCAACCTAATGCAGCTCTCATCGATTAGCATTTCTCGTTACGTAAACGTTGAGTCGAGTGCCATCTGCCAAATACATGGCTTCTCCGACGCCTCAATAAGAGCGTACGGATGCTGCATATATATACGAAGCCAATCTGATAGTGGTATTAAATGTATGCTGCTTACTGCAAAGTCTAGAGTGGCTTCGCTGAAGACCAAATCTCTACCACGTATTGGGCTCTCGGCAGCACATTTTCTTTCGAAATTATGGTTAACAGTAGCGCCTATGTTGAGTCGACACTTCGAAAAAATTACATTTTGGACAGACTCCGAAATCGTTTTACTTTTTTAATCCACATCCATCCTCACTACAACCTTCGTCGCAAACAGAGTGTCCGAAATCCAAGAGTTGACTGACAAAGTACATTGGCGAAATGTGCCAACGAACCAAAATCCTCTGGATCAAGTGTCTCGGGGTTGTAACGTGGACGAATTAAATAATTCGATATGGTTTGGCGGTCCACAGTTCCTCCTAGACGACTCTGCATTATGACCAATTAATAACCACTTCCAGCTCTGACCAGAAGAAGAAAAATACATTTACATTAATTTCGACTACTGAAAAAAAAATTCAATATTGGACCTTATTCAAAAATTCTCTTCTCATAGAAAATTGCGATGGATTCAGGCGACCACCTAAATCCTCCATGGGACAAGATTTCACTTCAGAAGAGCTAAACTTCAGTTTTCTAAAATTGCTCAAGTGATCCAACATTCAGAATTTTCGGGTGTTATTCAAGAATTGCATAAAGGTACCACGCTGAACGCAATCTTGTAAAACCTCAACCTGTTTTTGCATGAGTACTCGGGTATGTCGCTGTCATTCAAATTAATCAGAGTAGGAGGTCGCCTATTAAACCCACCTCTCCCATACGATGCCAAATTTCCGCGTTTATTACATAAAAGCTCGCACTTCGTTCCTGCATATTCGAAATCACCACTCTGGGGCTAAAGCGTTGGTTGCGCTTCTACGAGAACGCATATGACTAATTAATGCCCGAGAAGCTTGCAGTTGAATCGTAAGAAACTGTATACATTGTTTTCATTACAATCCGAACTTGCAAAACCAAATAGTGGGAAATTTTCCAGTCGAAAGGCTTCGAGCACTAAAGCCCTTTCTTATATGTGGCGTAGATTTTTGTGATCCGATATACACTATTTTAATAATACGCGTGGACAACCGGTGAAAACTTATATTGAAGTTTTCGTTTGCTTTTCTTCCAAAGCAGTACATTTAGAATTAGTTTCAGACATGTCAACTAATTCATTTATTCTCGCCCTAAAAAGGTTCATTGGACGATGAGGAATGCTGACGAAGATATTCAGCGAACACGCCACCAATTTCGTCGGCGCCGACCGCAAGCTGCGCGAATTGAAGGAGGCGTTTCTAGCAATGGGTCGAGAACTAAAGAGATTCACAGCAGACGAAGGGAGCAGTTTCATCTTTATACCACCGCGGGCGCCGCACTTCGGAGGATTATGGGTAGTCGCGGTGAAGTCTGCCAAACACCACATTGTTCGCGTAACCGGCAATGTGCCACTCACAGCGGAGGAGTTAGCAACAGTGTTGACCGAAGTGAAGACCATCCTCAACTCTCGCCCCCTAGTACCTCTGAGCCAAGATACCAATGACGGCGAGGCGTTACCACCAGCCTATCTACTTATAGAATACTTCCTGCGGTCATTACCCCCAGAGCAGGTGACAGTGGACCCAGTTCGTTGTTGAGAGAGATGGCAACTTGTTTGTTGTCTCAAGCAACAGTTCTGGCGACAGTGTTCCAAAGTATACCTGACGGGTCTTCAGGAGCGTAACAAGTGGAAAACGCAATATGCAGCTCAACGACCTCGCTCTCGTCCACGAGGACAACGTGCCGCCGCGCCAGTGGGTACTAGGGCGCGTCGTCGCAACCGTTGAAAGACGGGCACAACTAGGCGGTCCATCCACAAACTGGCCGTGCTTAAACTGGAAATTGAAGGAATCTGATCCTGTCAAAGACAAATAATTTGATGCGACTTTTCATACTATGTTTTTGGGATCTCTATACCTTGTTCTTTAAATAATGAATGTACAAAAATATGCGAAAGCGGTTAAAATTTTTTAGTTCCCACAATTGAAGAGCTTGAAGAGCATTACCCTCATAGGGATCGCTTAATTTTCCAGGATGACTCAGCGCCATGCCATCGTGAAAAATGGCTAACTTTTGGCTGGAAACAAATCTTGTAAATATAAAACATGTATGTATACAATATTTTTGTATATGATCCCATTCAGCTCAATTTTTTATTTTTAGTTAGCCAATACATTTATCGACCTTTAAGATTTAAGGATTCAACGCTTAGATTGGCCAGGAAAATCATCCGATTTAAGCTCTATTGAAGACTTATGACATATAATGAAGTGTGAAGCACTTAAGCAAAAGTCAATTAACAAAAATTTTAAAACTGCTTAGATATGGTTCCGTTATAGGGAAGTCAATTCAGGTCCTAGTGTATTCTATACCTTCAATAATTAAGGCACAAACAAATCTATCGTTAGTGGCGAAAATAATTTAGTCGTTTTAAATTAAATTCACATTGTTTTCTTTTAAATCATGAATATCACGGCTTGTAGGTAGGTAGGTACGAGTGCGTGCAGCCCCATCGAGCTCAATTAGCATTTGATGTGCCATTTTGATACCTCCTGTATCTGCTATTACGCGTCACCTTCTCTCTCACACCATATTGAGGTTTCGATGAAACTACTTATGTCCGATATGCTTTTAGTGGAAATCCATTCAAGGTTTAGTGTTTGATGGATTCCAAGTGTTTTGTGTCGGATCTGTGCTAGAGCCGGGCATTCACAGAGAAAGTGGAAGATTGTTTCCTTGTTCTCTGCTACTCTGCCTTTGCCAACTCGTCTGCTTTTTCGTTACCGAAAGTGTTCCTGCGGCCGGGGAGCTTGCCTTTTATTGAGCTAAGTGCTCTCTTGCAGTTGTAAACTATGCTGGAATTTGTCATGCGTGAATACAAAGCCAGGAGCGCCGCCTGGCTATCCGTAAATATAGTTGCTATACATAATGTTCCCGTGGTTTTCTAGTAGAACTTCGCAGTCTTTTTCTATGCCTAGTACTTCTGCTTGGAAGATGCCTGCCGAGCTCGGTAGACGTATACAGAGAGATATGCCTAGATCAGCGGAGAACACCCGCGTGCCTACTCCGCAGTTCATTTTGAACCCGTCGGTATAGACTGAGATGGTATCCTCCTCTCCTATTGAACCTCTTTTCCATTCTCGTCTAGATGGTATCCTTACCTGGGAGTGTGTACTAAAGCTCAGCTTTGGGAGAAAGTATTGTGCTCCGCCTCGGATTCGTTGAAGAAAGCTCCTGCCTTTGCTAACTCGTCTGCTGTTTCGTTACCGAAAGTGTTCCTGTGGCCGGGAACCCAGATCAAGTTCGGTTGGATCTTGCCTTTTATTGAGCTTAGTGCTCTCTTGCAATTGTAAACTATACTGGAATTTGTCATGGGTGAATACAAAGCCAGGAGCGCCACCTGGCTATCCGTAAATATAGTTGCTATACATAATGTTCCTGTGGTTTTCTAATAGAATTTCGCAGTCTTTTTCTATGCCTAGTACTTCTGCTTGGAAGATGCTAGCCGAGTTCGGTAGACGTATAGAGAGAGATATGCCAAGATCAGCGAAGAATACCCCCGTGCCTACTCCGCAGTTCATTTTGGACCCGTCGGTATAGACTGAGATGGTATCCTCCTCTCCTATTGATCCTCTTCTCCATTCTCGTCTAGATGGTATCCTTACCTGGAAGTGTCTATTAAAGTTCAGCTTTGGGAGAAAGTAGTTTGATTTATTAATGGTGAGTTTGTTTAGGATTACAATATGTCCGTAATTCTGCTGATTCCAACCTCCCAATTCTTTTACTTTTATTGCCGCAATAGCTGCTGTTTTGTGAATAAAAATGTCCATTGGTAGTTGATGCTGGATAACATTGAGCGCATCAGTCGGACATGACATGATTGCACCGGTAACACCCGCACATGCTGCTCTTTGTATACCAATTAATTTTTTAATGCTGTATTGTTTGTTTAGCGCTGGCCACCATACCAGAGTTCCATATTTAAGTATAGGTCCTATGACAGCCGTGTACATCCACATGATTATACTTGGTTTGAGGCCTCAATTTTTGTTGACGGTTCTCTTACAAGTATAGTAGGCCATGTATGCTTTGTTTATTATTTTTTCTATATTTATTTTCCAGGACAGTTTGGTGTCAATCTCCACCCTCAAGTAGTTAGCTGTGGGGGATAGAGTGAGTTTTGTACCGGAAGTTGAAACTGAGGAATTTTGGTCCTGCTTGTGAATAGCATCAGTTCTGTTTTGTTCGGGTGAACTCCTAGTCCATTGTTTTAAGCCCATAGATTTAACCTTCGAAGTGCTCTTTTCATAATCTCGCTGACTGTTGAAGAAAACATGCTTGATATAAACAACAATAATTCGTCTGCATACGCTACTGCTTTCACTCCTCCAACGTTTATTCGGGGGAGTATTTCGTTCAGCGCTACAACCCATAGAAACGGAGAGAGGACCCCCCTTGAGGCGTCCTTCTACTCACATATCTTGCTTGTGTATTGTTTGTGGTGTAGTGATTTTTCAATTACACTTAACACCTCGTGAAGGGCAGTTTCGGTTGATCGGCCCTTTATGGACGCATGTTGGGACTTCGATAACCTCTCCGCCGTTATTGTTTTTACGTGTAAATCTATTAGCCTTTCTAGTACCTTCAGCATAAAGCAGGTAAGGCTTATGGGTCTAAAATCCTTGGCATTCTCGTGTGTTCTTCTGCCTGGTTTTGGAAGGAAAACAACTTTACTTCTTTTCCAACTTCTTGGGATGTAAGATAGTTGAATGCCAGCTTTGTATATATTTTCAAGCCTTTGAAAGATTGGTTCTACCAGTTTTTGCAGCATTATGGGCATAATCCCGTCAGGACCTGCCATTTTAAATGGTGCAAAACTATTTATGGCATATTTGATTTTGCTTTTGTCTACTAATTGGCTTCGGTAATCAGCTGCGTTTTACGGTGGTTGTGGTTGAACCCTCGAAGATGTTTGCTGACACCCGGGGAAGTGCGTTGTAATTTGTACCTCCAGAGACTCTTTTGCCGAGGAGGTCCAATCACTTCCCTCCGCCGTAATGTAGGTAGTAGTAATATGATCTTTGGATAACATTTTTCTCAGCTTCCCGGCTTCTCTGCAACTTCTATCGATGTGCAGACACATCACCATGAGTCGTTTTTAGCTTTTCTGACTGCTTTTTTGTAACTTTTCATAATATCTTTATATGACTGCCAGATTTTGGTTCTAAAACTCTTATTGAAAGCTTTCCTTAGTTGTGTTCTCAAATTCTTGAGTTCACATTTCCTGGAAGAGAGTCTCTCTTTTTCAAAACTGTTAGCGGTGTGGATTTATTGAAAGTTGTGGTTAATATTTTTTCAACTCCTCTACTTCTGAATCTAGTTCCTGAGGATTATTAGTACTCTTATTGCCTTTCTTTTCAAGTAATTTTGTTGCTATACTGGTAAATTTTTCCCACGCTGTTCTTCTAGGGTTCCACTATGTGAGAGGAGCACTATATTTCGCTCGGATGCTGAAGAGTATCCAGGAGTGATCCGACATGGAAGGCTCATCGGATATCCTCCAGATCTGTCTGTCGAGACTATCTGTGTCTGTTGATAGCGTGAGGGCGGCCGGTGGTATGTCTTCGTCATGGGCCAAGTAGGCCGAGACCAAGAAGAAGGGCTTTTCCTTCTGTTCCACCTTTACCACTGTGATATCTGCTGTATTGTAATTAGGACAAAGAAATGCATTTATACTTTTATTGATAAGAATGCATGCCCTAAGTTTACCTTTGTTCCGTGTGTAAAACAGGTTAAAGTTGCTGCTGTTTAGCCCTTTAATGGTATCTTCATTGACTCAGGGCTCTCCTCGTTCAAGAGGGTTGTCAGATTCGCTATAGCATTCTTCGAGTGATGCAGGTTTACCTGTACGAGCCTCTGTGAGATCATCAAAACTTTTGGTACTTTAGTTGGTGCTCATGGCAGCTTTGGAGGTGGACGCTCCTTTCTTAAGGCTGCTGTTTTCACTGCTGTATCTGCCGGTATACTTTGGTTTTTATGTCCGGCAGTACTCTTACTCGTCTCCTGGCTGGAGGCGAGTAATTCGTCTTCTTTGGATTCCGTAACGGGAATCCTGTAGTTCATATCCTTAGTCATCGCTGTTGTCATCAATTAGGTTATTGTTGTTGTTTTTGTTTTATTGTTTCACATTTGGTCTAACGAGTAAGCTGGAAAGGGTTGGTCACTCGTCCGCAGACCCGGTGTGCGGAAAGAAGGCTTTTATACCTGCGACCTCACCCGGCATCGGAGGGGACTGTTCGCGATCAGCTATTATATTAGCCCCCGCTGACCATTCAGCCCACGGCACGGGTACCTCGACACCGTGGCTAAGGGGTGGTGTTGGTACGGGTATCCTCATACTTCCACTATAGTAGATGGGCGTAAAACCTAGGGTTTATTCATTAATATCACTCTTGTGGCTTTATTGACTCCATGGAGCGGTCGTTTGAATCCGGTTGAAAGTTTGGCGAAAAACTGACGATGAATCAATACTGTATATATTGTCGTGGTGCAAAAACCAAGAATTGTCGGCCCATAATCCCGGTCTCTTTTTACGAAT